CTGTGATCAGTGTTGTTGGCGGATTGCCTTTCTGTGTGGTGGCGATCGTGCTCGGTCTAATTCACTACAGGTGTACGTGTCTATCTCTCCTTGTTTGCACGTAATGACCGCCATGTTATAGATGGAAAGGTAATGGCTCTCCCTCCGGCACCATCTTTCTGTATTTGATCACTTTTCAGATGTACACAAATGCATCGCGCGATATGCGTCGCTTGGGTGTGTGCTATTCCCCTTTTCGTTTTGGTGGGTGTGATTTCATATGGCCGATTTAGCGTCTGTCTCGAGCTCCCCGTTACATTCCATGTATTGGGAAGCAGTCTCTGGGATCACGACTCTCCGGGCCTTTGGAGGGTCGACCCAGTTTCTGCTGGACATGATTCAGCTGCTTGATGTGGTCAGTTGGTATGAACTCCGTCACGAAGCTCCTTACTGATTACCGCAGAACACCGCACCCGCATATTGGACCTCTGCTAGTACGTCTGCTGGTGTCAGGTTACCTCCGCTCAACTTCATCGCCCAGTGAGCCAATGGCTCGGGGTCCGTTCAAATGCCTTGACGAGTGCGGTCGTGGGCGTAGTCGGCATCATGGCCGTCTTGTCTCCTCGAGTTGACGCATCACTGACCGGGTTCGCCATGATGTTTGCCGCTTCAGCCACAAATGATGTGGGCGATTTCCTTCGTTCGGGTTATAACCTCTCTCACACGCGTCCGGGCACAGTTCCAAAATATGGTACGCTGGTTTCCTCTTCAGCCCATGACGCCTCGCTCTATGTCTGCTTTCCAGGCCGGTCGGTATTCCAGATTGGAGCAAGACATGGTCGCACTAGAACGGATAAAGGAGTATTCCGAAATCCAACCGGAACCTGCGGAATTTACTGAACTCCAACCGCCGGCCGGCTGGCCCACACAAGGGAATATTCACTGCCAAGACCTCGTCGTTCAATACACCGTAAATAAGACATTAAGCTCAGTCCATCATCCTCACCATTTTGTGACAGCCGCAACTTCCCGCCGTTCTGCACGGGCTGAGCTTCGATATCTCTCCAGGAGAAAAGGTATTTTCTGTCCAATATACAATATTGATGCTTATCCTGCTAGATTGGCATCATCGGAAGAACAGGTAGAGCGCTGTGATTTTCCGCCATTTAACTTGCATTTTATCATGTTTTTCTAGGCTCGGGCAAGAGCACTTTGGCACTGTCTCTTTTCCGCTTCGTACCGGTTACGGCGGGCCGCATCCTCATTGACGGAATAGACATAGCAAAACTGGGTCTGACGGATCTGCGTCGCAATTTGACAATCATCCCGCGTGAGTGTCGGATACATAGACCTTTTTCGTCGATAATTGACGAGGAGAGTGGTTTAGAGGACCCGACGATTCTAAGTGGAACACTGCGCTCCACTCTGGACGTATTTGGAGAATACACAGATGCAGAGATCGTGCGTTCCTCCATCTCCCTGCTATGCTTTCGGTATTTACATTTCACAGTTCGACGCTCTTCGCCGTGTCCATCTGATCCCTTCCTCCGACAACGCCGATCAGCCCGCAGATTCAACCATTATCAACGCCAATGTGTTCAAGGATTTGGACTTCAAAGTGTCCGAGAGTGGGGACAACTTCTCGTCTGGGTATGTCCCTGCACTCTATCTCATTGCGTTCTCATGCCGATCGGTGGCAGAGAGAAACAACTTCTGTGTATGGCGCGTGCCATCCTCAAGCATTCTAAAATTCTCCTCATGGACGAGGTGAGCAATACTCCCACATGTTTTTGATCCACAACATTGAAACTCGCTGGATCCAGGCTACTGCAAGGTACCTGGTACTCAATGCATTCCACAATCGCGCACTTATCAGAACAATTTAGCGTCGACCATGCGACAGACGAGTTGATCAGCCACACGATCCGCGAGTGCGTCCCACTCAGCTCACTTCGGAATATTAATTATATAACGAGCTTCACGGTCCAGGGCTTTCGCGGAGAGCACCGTTCTGACGATCGCACATCGGCTGTCAACTGTTATTTCGTACGACAGGGTGCGTTGGCCTCCAATCTCGATACATATTTCCGGTGTCTGACAAACAACATGCAGGTCATGCTTCTCGACGAAGGGCGCATCATCGAGTTTGACAGGTCAGTCTGCGTTCAGACCAGGCGCGTTATCTTGTCATTGAAATTGCAACAGGCCTGGAACGCTCTTGGACGACCCCGCGTCGAAATTTCACGCGCTGTGCAAAGCAACGGGGAAAGGGGAGTTTGGGATGCTGAGGAATCTGGCTCGGCGTTGACAGACTGCCAGCGATACGGGGGCGTTGTACTAAGTGGACGGAATTCGCGTTGTAAGCGGACGGAATTCATACAGGGCTCTGACCTATCTCATTTCTGTAGCTACTTGCAATACGTTGGGGGGAGATTTATTATACAACTCACATGCACATAGCTCGTCCCGCGCACAAATATTCTGTTGACTTTCTGCCATCGCTGGAGCGACCGCGGATTTTCTGGATTCCGCCTTGATCATTAGTTGAACGTCCCCGGGCTACGTCGGTAGGATGCTCGCACCGAACTCAACGGTGTGCAAGCTGGGCACCTCACGCATCAGCAGCACGCGCAGCTCACCAAACGGCGGCGTCTCCTGCTCGTCCTCCATCTCCAGTGTCCATTGCATCCTTACATATTCCAGCACCGCTGGCGCCTTGACAAGCACCGCAGCCACACCTATGTAGTCGCGTATAAGCAGCATCTGAGCCAGTGTAAGCAACGAGGCAAAAAACCCACCTCTGGCTCCGCCGGTTCCGAGTCCGCGTCCCCGGGCCATGCATTCGTCAGCATTCGTCAGTATTTGCAGGGGAAAATGGGTGAGGCGGGAAGAGTGCGAGCAGGGCGCGCTGTCCACGACGTGCGCGGTCTGCACTGCGAGCGCGAGCGACGTGACGGACGCCGGCACCGCGCAGCGCGCGAACCAGTGCCGCCGGTACCAGGAGCGCGTGCTCCTCTAGCGCGAGATGTGTGAGCGCGGCGCCCGCCAGCGCGGCAGGGAGCAGCGCGGCGGGACCCGCGTAGCGCTGGAGACGCGGGGCGAGCGGCGTGCGGGGCATGGCCGCGGCGCCGGGGAAAGCACCTGTGCAGCGCGCAGTGAGGTCGCGGAGCGCGGGTAACGCGGCGATGCAAGCGTGGATGCGCGGAAGGTCGGGGGCGACGAGCGTGACCGACAGGGTGTGGAGGCGGTGGAAGCGGCGCTGCGTCGCGCTGTCGTCGAGGAAGCGAGGTGGACCATGGAGCGAGCGTAGGGAGGTGGGGGTCCAGCATCGAGAGGCAGGCAGTGTCGTGGAGGGAAGGCGTTGGGATGGCGGTGTAGGAAAAGTGCTCGAGCGTGAGTGGTTGCGAGGGACGCGAAATATGTCCTCCGCGAATTTGGAGTGTTTTGAGGTGCACACGGGTTTCGAGGCCGAGCCCGGCGAGCTCGGCGCGGCAGTCGAGAAATGCGCAAGAAAGACGCTCAAGGTTCACGAATCGAGCGACCGATTTGAAGAAGCTGTGGTCTGAAAAGGTGCAGGTGCGCAATCTCATCCGATGCCCAAAATACGAGACGTTCGAGCTGGGGCCGGTCGTCGCTGGAATTGGAGGGAGTGAAATGGAGATGTTTGAAGATCAGAAACGCTACAAACTCGCGCAGCAGGGGGGAAATAGCGTGGACAGTGAGAAGCACGTCGCGGGACAGATGCTCCAAGATGTTTATCCAAATTTCTGGCGGTTGCAGGTCATCCGAGTGTGGAGTGGGGGAACGCGCTAAAAGAGGAGCCGTGGGAGTTCCGTGAGGGGCACGTGTCGTCGGCCTCGTTACATCATATTCGTCCCGTCGGAGGTGTTGCGGAAGCGACCATCTACAGCAACCGCGCACTATCTCGACAGTACTGATGGACGCTAAATACAATGGTAGTGAAACAGTCAGGTAGGTACGGGTTTTCCTCAATGTCGGTGTGGTACGATCAGTTTTGACCCGCCTACTTCCTGTCTCGGTAACCCAGACGTTCCAGTGTGATCTTATCTATCTCGGATTGATCCGGTGTTTGACATAAATGATAAGAAAATAATGGGCCGAGATCACACTGGAACGTCTGGGGCAATTGGTATAGTGATACCCCCCATAGGGTCACATCCCTTCCTCCTCCTCCCTCCCCGCCCTTCTTTCCTCAACGGCTGTTCATTCCAGGCTCCCTATGCCTCTCAAAGGCTTCTCCAATTTTCTCGGATTTTTTCGGCCACTTTCTGTGCTGCTATGTGCCGCGCAAAACTGCACCTATTTGGGGCCATTGAGTGCTACTTCGTGCCAACGCGGCCTCACGCTTCCCAGGAAAAAATCTTACTTTGTCCTATACACACATATAGTCTTCCCACACAATTTTAGGCCTATTTAGATGCTCTCGCGGTCCCCAGGACGCGATACTGCACGGTGCGTGACACGAGAAGTGTGACCCCACGGGGGGTAACACACTACCAAATGCCCCAGACGTTCTAGTGTGATATCTACCCATCTTTTTCTTATCAATTATTCAAACTCCGTCGGATCAGTCCGAGATAAGATATGCATATGTTGTATAGGATATCACACGTAGAACGTCTGGGTTACCGAGACAGCCTACTTCAGGCTATGTAGTGTATATGCAGCCACGATCCTTCTTCATCAGAATCAAGTCCGATTCAATTACATCCGTCCCTTTTATGGAACAGCTACCAACAAGAAAAAAACCACAAACTTTTGATTTTTGATGGCAGATCAACACGCATAAATAAATGTTCAACTCCATACAATTAGTTTTCTATCAGGTGCCAGCGGATTACCTTCAGTCTGCTTGGCCCGCGGACACCCAAGATTATGTCTAGATGACTAAATGTCGGTAGAGAATTCGAAAACCTGTCCACGAGGGCGGAAAATATGAAATGAACCAGAACGGACCTGACACGACAGAAATGGATTCTGGCGATAACAAAAAAGGTATCTGGATACATTGGGAATTGAACCCAACACCTCTCGCATGATTATATAAGCGACTGCTAAGCGAGCGTGATAACCAACTACACCATGTACCCGCGAAGATCCATTGCCATCGTATCCATGGGGGCTGATTGGCGGGTGCTGTAACCCACTCACCTCTGGAGGATTGTTTCTCTCCGGATTCTCTCAAATAGATGAACACTACAACATACCATAGATCTACTTGCGAGTTAATTGTGAGTCTATCCGATTCCACGAAATTAAAGAGGAACTGAACCAAACCACGTGAGACCATGTTGAAAAACAGATATCTGCATCATAGCAGTTAAGTATGCCGGCTTGTGGTTTCTAAGAGCGTGGTCCGTCGTACTTATGGGAAAAACAATAACGAACAGACCGGATCCTTGAGTTTCATCCATGTTATTCACTCGAATCTCCTACATATAGTGGCACTGGTTTACTATTCGATACTGCAGTGCATGGTCAGCGCATAAGAATTGGGATAGGCATCGGATGCGAGCTGCTCCTCTACTATCTCAACGATATCTATCTCAACCACTGAATTAAGGCGAGAACCGCAGCCAGCGATATATCGCACGAAAGACAGTGCACACAACGTACGCGAAAAGGAGCGATGCGAAGACCGCGGTGTACCCATGATTCTACGGCAATGCGAGCAGAAGGAATTCACCGACAGAGAAAGGAGGGTTGGGAGCACCTCATAGAAGGGGGCTCCGGTGAAATAGAAATACATCAACATTCAAGCAGATCTGGCTCGTCCGCGCCGAATCCACTGATAGAGCACGCTGGACTAGGCTCGTGTCCAGCCGTTATCCCATCTATCAAATTACGGCTAAGTGCTTCCAGCCGTTATAGTCCACAATAAGGTAGCGGACATACAAACGCGGTTGCACCACGTGACTGCCCAAAAGGAGCGATTGTGGGCTTGCACGATGAGAGTGGAAAATCTGGCTCAACAGTTTTGTGTGAATGTACCTGAAGACCGTTCCCAAATATATTGGGGAATTTCGGTTGAGAAATGAAGGACAAGTTCCCAAATTGATGTGGGCCGACAATACCATCAATTTCTGATCATTTTGGAACTAGTCCTTCAGTTCCCCACTTTTACACAAGCTTTAACCACGAGTGAGTAGGCCTGAGCAATGCGAACAATACTGTTGGGCCAGAATTTCTATTTCGGATTAAAAAATGGTGGATTTGTGGAAATCTTCTCAATAAGGCTAAATCACGTGGGGTAACCGCGTTTGTATGTCCGCTACCTTACTTTGCTCGCTCGTCATTGTGGACGGATAACGGGTGGACACGAGCCTAACGCTGGACGGACACCACGTTAATAGCCTTCTTGGGGTAGAGCTAATCTGCTCATTAAACAATGAATTAAGCACGTACAGTATATCAGCATGTCCCATACTCCATCATTCAAAATGGAGGAAAGGTCCCAAGCAAAGAGCCATGGGGCAATACCGGGGTTGTCTTGTTCGAGGGGGCATAAGAGCTGTTATTTGCGTGCCGCGTCAATGACACCGGAATTCTCTGAAGAAGCGGTTAGGACACACACATTACCGCCCACACCATGCTGATGATCCAGTCCAAAGCAGTCGGCACAATCATCTGGCCACGGGACATTGAGAACACTTTGTATATATCCAGTGCCAGAAGCACGGTGGTGTTCAAAAACCTCCACGAGTGATTTTCAAAATCTATCTGCGTACAGGGACTCGGACTCTTATAAGATGAGGGGAAAGGTGGTTGGTGATGCATTCGAAATCTAAGAAAGAGAAAAGCAGACCGGATTTGATGTGCCATTTAGAAAGTGAATTCAAGAAGCTAACAAATGGTCTCCACTCTGCAGAGTGTATATTTCATGTTTCTGGTCGGACCGGCTGATTCAAACGGAAAAGGCATTGGGAATGTTGCCAAAAAAAAAATCCCTGAAGAAATTTGTGGAGATTTGGGACAATTGGGATACGCTTCGGTCCTATAATTTTGTCTTCTCAACCGATTTCTTTCGGATTTTTCGATATTGATACAGTGTACTAGGGGGGACCTAATGCACTTTTCCGAGCCTGTGTTTACTACCCTGCTGAAGCTGACTCTCCGAGTCCTTCCAGGATAGACCGAGACACGGTCACGAGACGCGTTTATCGGCTATTAATCGAGTCACGAGTGCACAACGGCATTGTTTTAACCATGTTTAGCCGCCCTCTCTGTTTTTGGCGACCTCTGACAGCCTCTGACGTGGCAGCTGTTGGGCTGTACCCAATCCTTCAGCGCCCCACTTGAAAACTTCTCTCTGGCTCGGCTATGACCCTGTTGAGCGCATGCTCAGGCTTGCAAAACAGCCTATCTCCATGTCTCCAGCCTCCCACCTCCGACAACCCGGGTGGAATAGCAGGCTTCGACACCATTTCAATCCTCCCTGATACCACGCAAGACTCTGAACAGGCATACGAGTCTCACAGAAGTGACAGAACTATCCCCGAGGATTCTTTCACTATTCTGGAGTCCAGCACTGATATGCAACCGGCTTCCCTCCATTATGGGACTGCCTCATCTTCTCTATCGCGTGCAGCCCCTCCTAAGGAAATGAATTTGCAGCATTGGCCGAGGATTCCCGTCGTAGGTCGAATTGTACGATTCACCAAGCCAAACTAAACTAATAAGCATCAACAGAATTTGATTATGCATACATTCTTGGTTCTGCGCCGCCAATCGGACAGGTAAATACAATATAGTCCTCCACCTAAAGGCATGCTTATCCAAATTCAGTCGTCTGAATGAACTTCGTGACCTGGTGAAATCATGGGAGGAATGGGACACTCTGACCGCTCTTGCAAATTACCACTCCATTGTGAAGATACTATTTGGTTTTCTGAACAAAGATGTAACTCTGGTATAAACATAATGTAATTATTTCTACTGTGTTCCTCATCACGTCTGCAGGACCGAAACCATAGCCATATCATTGCAACGGAAATATTCGAGAAAATGTCGCAAGATGTTTCTGAAATTTCAGCACAGATGATCCTGATATTACGCAACTCAGAGACTTACAAACAATTTTTAGCTAGTCGTGGGTCTCTTGCTCAAAAGCTCTTGGATCTTCTTCAGGATGTGCGTTTTTTGATTGATACTTGAATTATTACAGTTGAAAACTTATATTTTGTTAGCTGTTGGATTCATTCTCCCCACCCCGGCCGTTGCTCTCCAAAGCCTTGATTAGACTTTCTCGTGCATCCGGGCTCCATCCTAAATGCTTTGCCCTCTCTGGTTTGGTGACTGTAGGGAAGCAAGTGGCAGCTGGTGCATTCAGTGATATCTGGAAGGGTCTGGTTCATGGTCAAAGTGTTTCCATCAAAATGGTGCGACTATTCCGAGACTCAGATGTAGAAGCTGTACTCAAGGTGAGTATTCTTTTTTTCCCCATGTGGTCTTCTACATATTTTCAGGAATTTGGTCGGGAAGCTCTCCTATGGCGCCAACTTTCTCACCCCAACTTGCTACCATTTTTCGGTCTATATTATCTGGAGAGCAGGCTCTGTCTTGTGTCACCATGGATGGAGAATGGCCACTTGCTAGAATTCCTAAGAAATGCATCAGCCGATACTGATCGTCTTTCTCTTGTGAGCACTTACTGGTTGATATTCATATCTTGGCAGGTTCAATGTTCCCACTTCAGATTTTGGATGTGGTCATGGGTCTCGAATACTTGCACACAGAACAGGTGGTCCATGGAGATTTGAAGGCAGTATGTTATCTGCTATGTCGAATCGAAATAAGCACTGATCGTTACAGACGAACATTCTGATTACTCCCTCAGGCAGGACCTGTATCGCAGATTTCGGCCTATCAACCATCACCGATGCTGTTAGTCTGCGATTCACCCATTCGACAACCAATGTCCAGGGAGGTACTGCACGCTACCAGGCACCGGAAGTGTTGTCAGGGGAAAGGCCGAACCACTACGGATCAGATATCTATGCATTCGCTTGTGTTTGCTACGAGGTCAGGCCCTATGCATTTCCTTTTCCTTTCTGACATCAATAATATCACAGATATTGACCGGAAAGGCCCCGTTCTTTGAAATCCTCAATGACATAATCGTTAGCATCAGGGTTATCGCAGGGGATCGACCTTCTCAGCCGGAAGTAACTGTGTGTGACACTATCCTTTGGATTCTGCTTCAAGATTGTTGGCAACAGAATCCCGACATACGCCCCTCGACTCAGCAAATCATATATCGCCTTGTGAATCCTCCCATTGAAGCGAAAGCATCACAATCTGCAATGGACTGGGAGGAGACATCAAAATTCCGTCGTTATCTCCAAGAAAAACCTTTGTTACCATCAATCACCGAAATCGAGCGTGAAATGTTTGGAGATGGTGAGTTGATAGCTGAAAAATATATATTTTCTGTTTCTCAACAAATGGTGTAGAGACTGTTGAAGGTATTCAGATTAAAGGTAAAATACAAGAATACTGATTGGTGATTGGGTTGAAGACTGCACAGATTGCTTTCCAAAGTGCACAAAAGAGGAGCCCAGTCTAAAGAGTCTTGAGCCTCTTCCAGTGGATCTTCATGTATTTATAGCCCCTTTGCGTCATCTTGGAGAGCATTAACCCAGTTTGCAGGTCACATATGACCCAAATAAGTTATATCATGGCAGCCTGGACACCCTAGCATCTGTGCTTTACAAAAGTTTTCAGGGGTTGACACCGCAGTGGATAGTGTTCTTGATCCATCTGGTGGACGACGGCAAGACCGTGGCGTGTCTCCGGGCAGCATGGGAAATGTGCTTGATGAACAGGTCCAAACAAGGGGTCATCCAGAAAATCTTGACAGTACCATGGGTTTGCAACATGAAGCCGTGGATCTGCAATCTGTGCCACACCCACACCGTGGGGTATCACTCACAAACATGGCCAGGCAATTAACCCTCAAGGCTGACAACCCATTGGAGTCTCACATTATTGAAGAGGCTCTTGCTGGCTTTCAGAGGTTCCTTCGACCAAATTTGAGGAATGAATTAAAAGCAGCAGCAATCCATGGTCCCTTCATTTTGTTGAATGCAGG